TTTATGTGTTTGAGAGGAAAACAGGTTGTCGAAGGGAGGATAGGTGGGGGGGGGGGGGGAAGCAGAGCTACAGGCTGCTTCAAAACGTGTGCATGATAATAGAATGTGTGAGACTGAAAGAGGAACATTACATAAAGAGCATAGGGGTGGATCGGATTGCGACATCAGATAGGGGTGTGTTAGACGGGTGTGGAAAGGGATGCTTGTGATATAAGGGATTCATGTGTGTATCCAGGAGGGAGTGGAAGGGATAGAGGGGATGGTGGGAGGGTTAATGTGGGTGGGGTTGGAGTTGGGGGGGATGGGTTGTGTTGGGAGGGGGTAGGAGGATAGGGTGTAGGGGGGATATCGTTAGGAGGAGGATGGATATCGGCAGTCACTTGGTGTGTGGAGGAAGCAGGAGTTGTAGGATTTGAAGGTTGATGGGGGTCAGTTTTCATTAAGAAGTCTTGGATATTTTCAAGAGTTTCTTCAATGGAGTTGGTTGGGGAGTTTTGTGGGATAAAGGATTTCATGTAAGGGGGGGAAGAGAACGCTGGTGTCTCAAGAGTAAGGGCAAAGGAAGGTGGAGGTGATTGTGTGGTAGGGGAAGAGGGGGTGGAACGTTTGTTTTGTCTGTTGCGGGTAGTGCGGGGAGGGAGAGGGGAAGGTGTTGGGGTTGTAGTGGAGATTGGAGTGTCTGTAGTAGAGATTGGAGTGTCTGGATTTAGGATTCAAAACAAACAAATGTATCAGACATCAAAGGTCACACAGCAACATGGTAAAGTATTGTGGCAAAAAGGGTAAATATGAGTTTCTGCTTTGGATAAGTGGACAGAAGAGGATGAAGAAGGGAAGGGAATGGAAAGAGGAAGAAGAAAAGACCCTGCAAAATTTGTTGGGGTAAGGGCTGAGGTCCAAGGCAAGAGTGATCCCTACATTGGGCCTCAGTCTCTGCCTCCTAAGCCCCATAGCAACAACGAACAAGGGATTGTGGGAGTAAATGTTGATAAAGTTAAATTGTTTTGATAACTGAAAAACAGTTATCTTATAATAATCCAGGTATTGTGTATATGGTTGGACACTATGAATTTACATGCAACTTTTCCATTGTTTATCATTACTACCAATAAAGTGTCACATTACAAACTTAGTCATTTTCTTTTCCTTGGATTCCATCTTGCTAAAATTATCCACATGACCATGAATTATTTATGGTTAAGCATTACATCTCATTTTCCAATGCAAGATTCACTTTCTCTTACATGTGTTAGTTGGACTTCAGTATGTATTCTTTACCACTTGTATACATTATTCATTTAGTTGTCAGTTTATTCCAAATTCAACAAATAGTAATTCATGGTCATCTTCCATATTCTATATATAATCTCCATGAGAAAATGAATTCATACTGAATCATCTATGACCAGTTTCATATATTTCACAGGACAATTTTTTTTGTTCCAGTAAACAGATTGAATTGGTTAAATAATACGTCTTTGTAGTTGGTGACCCTTTAATGTAATGATAAAATGAGTGATGAAACATCCAGTTTCCAGAAGCCAACACCAGATGCAAAGTTGTTACTAAACAAGCAAATTAAATGCAAGATTTACAACCAATAAATTACCCTGGATAAGAATATTAACATACCTATATTTGTTGTCAAAGGATCTAACACGGTTGCACTAATTCTGATCTATATGAATTACATTAATCAACATGGATGGTGTTCCACAAATCAAATATAACTATTAAATCTCAATTTCCATTCTAATTGCTTCGGGTTGTTTACCAGACTATTAATCCATTTACCAAGCTCAACCAAAATTACAGAATTTGGATGGAAGTGTCTTACACTAATAAAGCACCATTTGTACATACAACTGATGTTACTGATTGGTGTGCAATGTCATACTATCCAAAATACAATGTAACCTTTGTGATGCTTCAGGTGTAAAAAAGCAGTGGTAATGTACGGTTTAACTTTCTTTTCCTTTTTGTCACTGATAACACATTTCCTAAATTTACATAAGAATAGGGCTTGATTTTCAAAATTTCCATGGATTTACTGGAGCTCCTTATCAAACATGAACTCTCCAAGACCTGCTGGGCCAGCACGCTTCAGCTTGGTGATCATGTCACCAATCTTCTTGATGGAATCCACCTGTTCCTCCAGATACTCATCTTCAAGAAGTTTGGTGAGATGAGGATCATTGTTGCCACTTGCAGTGCCATGGAGTTCCAGGAGAGACTGCAAAGAGATGAAACTTAGATAACTCACAGATGGATTTAAAAATTTAAAATTCTTATTAACTCTTGTTTGTATTAACTAGCTTAAGTATTCATCATATCTTACAATAAGAAAATATTGAAGAAGTCATTTATCTTAATAGAAGCAATAGTTTAAAAAGTAGAAAAAGAAAGGAGAAAAAAGTAACATTATAAGAACGAAGAAATTAGCAAATTTACCTGATTGACCTGCTTCTCCAGATCAAGAGCAGCCTGAAGGGCTTCCAGACCAGTGCCCCATTCTTGCATGGAAGGAGCTGCAATCTGCTGGAGAACGATCCGGCCACCTCGCTTGTTCTGGTACTATAATGGAAGAAGAACAAAATTATCCTCCTGTCTGCATTTCATTAACTTTATGATAAGAGACTTCATACAAAGGAAACAAGTGGATCTTGCCTAGCTTTATAGTATTTGAATTAATTTGTCCTTTAAGAATGCCTATTCCTATGACCTACCCTACAGGTTACTGGTACTGGGGGAGGGGGAGAAGAAAAGGAAAAGGATAGGGAAGGGAGGAGAGGAAGAGGACAGGGGATGGGGAGGGAGACATATGAACTAGAATCACCAAACCAGGATATTAATATACCTGACAAGCAAAATGCAATTAGGAGAGAAAAGGAGAATCAAGTTCAGTGTAGCACACAATATTAGTCTGTAATATTGATTTTCTCTGAAATAAGCCGTCTATATGAAAAAAAATATTGTACAGTCTCCCAACTCCCACTATCATAAAACAGATCTGCCAAGGTGTGAGCAATTAGTTGGTTCCCCAAACAAAATCTATACTCGTTTTAAAAAGGTTTCAAATACAAGAGTTGAAACTGTTAGTTCAATCACTGGCAAGGTTCTGTGGTAAACATAGAAGTGGATCAACAGGCTACAAAAATTACAAAAAAAGAGGTATTTTCACAAGGATTCACAGTGAACAATAGTAAAGAATCCTAGATTTATCAATTGAGGTAATGTCAAATTATCCAATGGCTGAAGCAAGTTCCAGCACCTTAAATCCAACTTTTACATTTTTCAAGCACTTCCAGATATCATATTTAGTTATTCTTCTACTTTGTTGACTGTATATAGATCTCAGACATTTATATCTCTGACCACTTTTCAGGCAAGAGGCAACTATCTATAAGCATTAACTTTAGATATCAGGAGAATTCATGATCTGTACACAACTATTCCTCTTACCTTCATGAAAATCTGGGCATGTTCCCTTTCCTCATCGCTTGATTCCTTGAAGAACTTGGCGAAACCAGGCAGAGCTACATCGTCACGTTCAAAGTAGTAAGCCTGAAATTGATACATCTCATTATTTCTGCACAAGAATAAAAGACTTTCTATTAAAATGTTCATCTTTCAGAGCTTGGTTAAAGTTTTTTATTAATTCTAAGTGTTTTAAAACTTAAGACAAATTATTAATTATTATTGATACTTTCATTAAGTAAAAGCAGTTCATGATTGTTATGAAGGCCAACTAGACAATCTTTTTAACCAAAAGACCAATTAATTACTTTAGCACAACTACAATGTTCCTTCAGTCGACCCTAGAACCAACTTACAATTATTTGTCTATTTATCTTATAAAAGCTAACATTACACAAGGTGGACAAGTTATAAGTTATAAAGGTGCTGCCCTCGCTCAGGAGGAATTTGTATTAAAAAATCTATAAAACAGAGAATGTTGTAACTTTGGTGATATTCTATATGTTTCAAAATGAAAGATGGATTCCTTCTACAATAATGGAGATAATCTTTTTCAATATTTCTGAACAAATATTCTTATAACCTATCACTAATCACACCTAAAAAACTAGTTGTCCCCCAAACAATCCAACAGTCATTTTAGAAGGAATAAAAACAAAAACCTATATTTTTTCCAAGATGGCTCATGGGACAGTTTTGCACATTGTGATATTGCTTGCCTATAAAGCTTGTAATAATGAGGTTTTTTATTATTACATTCTAGAACATTAAAGTTACTTAAAATCTAAATCTTTGATTCTAAGTTGCTTACCGATAAAGCTATAATTAACTTCTTTTTTTTTAAGCTGGGAATATTTTATCCAAACAAATGTGGAATTTTGCAGAAGGAATTTGGCCTTCTGCCTGGAAGGATTGCACATATTTTCAGCAGTATCAAGCATTATCTTAGCAGTTTGCCATTCTTTCTTGAATTCGTTCAATATAGCCAACAACAGACGCGTAACGCAATTTACAACGACCTTCAAGAGAGAATTTAAAATAAGGACGATTTTCCAGGAAGACCCGGTCGACGGAACCATTACCAGAGGTTGCCGAGTCGCGTATTTCTTACTGCATATTTAATCCACATTTCCCTCTCTCTGTTCTTACCTCCATACCAATTACAATAATAATCACACTCAAACTGCTCAGAAAATTACCCATCCAACACAGAATCCCCCCCAGAATGCCCAGGAGAGAAACGCGCTCCGGAAAATACACCGAAGCAACACCGACTCACCATTGAAAGGTAAACGTAGCTGGCGTAAAGTTCCATGTTGATCTGCTTGTTAATAGAGGCTTCACAATCCTCATGGTAGTTCTGGCGGACTTGGCTGGCCATCGTGATCGTCTCTTGGATGCGCGGAAGGTGACGTGAGGTGAATGAAGTTGACGGAAGAGGTCCAAAAGGAGAGGGTTTCCAGAGGCTCGCGTACAGGTGCTCGTCCACACACTGGTGACCCGGAGCACTCTACTGCGCAGCTCGGGGAGGGCCCCTTCTTATATGCGCTGCTGTTACGTTTACCTCCCTTTCCTCTTATCTGCCGCTCTTCTTTGCTCTTGGTGGCGTGGAAGCGATAGTAGTTGATATATATTTTTTCTTTATATTATCAGCATTAGATGTATGAGGTTTGGGTTTTGAGGGAGGGATCGCGATATGGCTGGGGCGTTGGGCGGGGGGCGGAGGAGGGGGAGAGGAAACTTGGCTGTTTGGGGGACTCGGCGGGCAGTCAGAAGGCAAACGAGAACCTTACTTGTTGGAATTCTATCAGAACTATAGGAAAAAAATGTTGTTTTTTTTAGTAAGTCGAGGAGTTTATGAGGAGGGAATTATCGTAAACGATATAGCCTACTTATGTTTGTCGTGAAAAATACAAAAGCATGCATATATACGCACACACGCTAACACTCACTCATCTTCTGTATATATACTTAAACACGCACGTATTCATGTTATTACATATATCTATGTCTATCTGTCCTGTCTGTCTATCATTAAATCTATATGTATACATTACAATTATCTGCTTATCTACCTATATATCTATCTATATCTATCTGCTCGTCTGCATGTTATACATGTGTGTGTGTGTGTGTGTGTGTGTGTGTGTGTGTGTGTGTGTGTGTGTGTGTGTGTGTGTGTGTGTGTGTGTGTGTATGTGTGTGTGTGTGCGCGCGCGTGCGTGCGTATGTGTGTGTGTGTGTGTGTGTATGTGTGTTTGCGTGTGCGTGTGTGTGTGTGTGTGTGTGTGTGAGTGTGTGTGTGTGTGTGTGTATGTATATGTATATTGATATATATATGTGGATATGAATATATCCATGAATAGATATACCTGCACATGCACATGCACGTATATGCACATGTACATACATACACGTACATACATGTATATGTATATATGTATATATATATATATATATATATATATATATAGATAGATAGATAGATAGATAGATAGATAGATAGATAGATAATCGTAAATAGTAACCATGGTTAAACACGTACTCATGCTTCCTTAATCAAAAGTAAATAATAACATTAAATACATCAAAATCTAGGTTACTTATAAAACACAACGGGAAGAAAAGAAAATTACCGAAAACTAGAGACGGGATGTAAAAGATAGAGAGAGAAAAAAAATCATACACAAATCAATGGTTATTTATCTTATTATTGCACCGAGACCGATAATTAATAATAATGCACATTGTCAAACTACAATGGAAACTGCTCTTTTGAAAACGGGTTGCTGATGATTTCTTCTGTATTCTGACCTAAAGATATACTAAACAATACTTTAGAATTTAGTCGCCGTAAGCATGACTCATTCGTTTGCAACATGTCTGTTCCGGATTGGTTTGGTGCGGCCCCGGTCGGCGGTTTACTGGCAGATATGCATGCAGGCAGTGCGTGCTATTCTGTTACTCGGACTCTAGTTTCTTAAATATGTGCATATATTTTATTGATACATGCATGTTTCTTACACACACACACACATATATATCTACCCATCCATTCATCCATCCATCCATCCATACATCCACACACACACACACACACACACACACACACACACACACACACACACACACACACACACACACACACACACACACACACACACACACACACACACATGCACACGCACACGCACACACACACACATATATATATATATATGTGTGTGTGAATTTGTATACAGCTTATATCCAGTACTGTCTATACTGTCTGTCTATATATACACAGGCATCTACACTGGCCATCTGCATGTTGACATGACTTATGACTTCAGGACATTATGAACATATGTTTTTAGGTAGAGTGTGCTGAAGTGGCGGCTCACACCGCCACGTGGTTTTATGTGCGCATGTGCCTGTGTGCATTTGTCTTGAAAAACATGCCGTAGTGCTGTTTACAATCCGAGCACGACAGAATATGTTTGGCATGGTGTGTAGGATATATATTTTTTCTACTTGATCAGACAAAAGCTCAATCAAATATTCTGGGAAGATTTAGCCACTTTCAGGTCATGATTGTGAAGTAAGCTTGGAGTTGCATAAGGAATTTGATGAGACAGGTTGCCAGTGACCCTCCCTTATTATTGTATACTTTGTTATTCGTAGTTGCAGTTAATTAAATAATTGTGATGATAAGATAAACTACGAAATAAAAGAAGTGGAATATTGGAACTGTAGCTTCTGACACTCTAGAATCTTCTTTATGACGTCACATACCGCATGGCATTCTCCCATGCTGCTTTATAGATTGTTTGGTAATGAGATAAATTACTTTTCGTAGCAAATATTAACCAAAAAGAAGAAAAAATGTCACCTTAGGGCGAAAGAAGGGCACTGTTGCATAATTCTAGAACTTGGATTAACGATTAGTCATTCTTTTGACCACCAACTATAAATTGTTCTAGGAAAACGATCCTATGCTACTGTGCTCTGCGTTATGCAACGCTGTGCATTCCTATTTGAAAAAGAATAACTACTAATATCCGTTAGTATACATTTTTCTTCGGTATATATCTTTACGTGTTAATCACAAGTAAGCAGTTCTATATTATTTTCGACTCAGCATTACTCGAAGTAAATAACTAAGTAGTAAGTTTCATCATTCATTTTACATTACAGAAACCCACGTCAACGACTGTTGCGTCAGAACCTGTGTATTTCGCCGTCAAGCATGGCTGCGGAGGAAGCCCTTGGAGACAAGTACAGATAACGCTGTACTTTCGAACCTTCACGCCACTTCAGCAAGATAAGAAGAAGGACAGGGAAGAGGAAAATCTGTATTATCTTGAGAAAGCAGAGAGGTCGAGCCGGCGATGTCTAGGCTGAGTTAAGGATCAATAGTCTGGACTCTACGATTATGCATGGCAACGGACGTGTGTGGTCGACACTTCTACTCTGCTGGGAAAGGGAGATGCAACAGAGTTCAGTGAAATTTACCGTGGAAATTTACCCAGGCTGTTTGTTTTAACGAGACTCATATTTCCGCCTATACTTTTAGGGTCAAACCAAACTACTGCGTTTTGAGGCAGAAATTTTATTTACAAGTTTTTATGTTAAGACTTTAACCTACATATACATTCACACAGCACTTCATGGGGAATTTCCAAGAATTATATCTGTTAATATATATGGCTAGATCTGATGTAGTTATAATTCTTCATCATTAATCAGACTGCATAATCATTTGTAAGATATGTACAGCATACGTGTACCTTTTGAGCAAAATCTGTTACAAAAGTATTTTACTCAAACAGAAATCTGTAAAAAAAACCTTGAGTGGGGTTGATATGATGAGGTTGATGCAACAAGAATTCCCCGTGTTTAGAAACTTTTTGAATGGATTGTGGCGATTGTGCGTGTACGATTTTCTACGTGTATGATAGAGTATTGGCTGCCTTAGTTAGGTGAACTAAAATACACTTTCGGTGGTTATTTGAAAGATAAGCTAAGTCCCCTTGAGAGATAGGCAGTATCAGGGCTACGGCCAAGCACTTGGGGAAAAACTGATTGTCTTTCGGTTTTATGTCACAATATCCTTCTATTGCCGATAAACAAAGCTTGTTTGAAAGAGGAAATGCGTCTTAATATAAACCTTCTTATTGACGTATTATGGACACAAAGCTAATAATGCTGACATGCAAGTTAGGGTGAGTCATGCTGACGATAACCACCGTTGCCGCTACGTGATTATTGAACATGTACATGCTACATCTCACGGCGACGTGCACTGATGGAAAAAAAAGGAAATTAACGCAATGAATTCTGTATACCTCATACACACACTCACACTCATACTCATACTCATACTCACTCACTCACTCGGGTCATACAAAAGTATGGTAGATAGCGAGCTGAGGGTGTCATAACTTTACTGTAGAGCAATGTGGAGTGCGGCTGCTTCTAAGATCGAAGTGATGCTCCTTGGGTCCCCGTAGGGAGTCTGTCCTGTCATTTCGCACACTGGTGTAAGGATAGCTCTAAGTCGTGTCTTTAGCATGTGACAGTTGGTGATGAAGAAGGGAGTGTTAGAGCAATGCATAACCCTTGCGGAAGGGGAAAGACAACACAACACTGGCATGGGTAGTGTGACAGGAAGAGGTGGATAAACAGGTAAAGCAATGTAATGCTTACGTGCATGTGTGTGCGTGGGAATTAATGATGTGACAGTATATAAAATTATATGTTATGTAGAATATAACATACACCGAGAATAACATTAATATACACATTTCTGCAACATTAATATACACATTTCTGCAACATTAATATACACATTTCTGCAACATCAACATACATATTTCAGTAACATTTTGCATACAAAGCTGGGTCATACATACATACACACACACACACACACACACACACATTTTATATATATATATATATATATATATATATATATATATATGTGTGTGTGTGTGTGTGTGTGTGTGTGTGTGTGTGTGTGTGTGTGTGTGTGTGTGTGTGTGTGTGTGTGTGTGTGTATGCATCATATATATATATATATATATATATATATATATATATATATATATATATGTATATATATATATATATATATATATATATATACATATATATATATATATATATATATATATATATATATATACATACATACATACATACACATACACACACACACACACACACACACACACACACACACACACACACACACACACACACATACACACACACACACACACACACACACACACACACACATATATATATATACACATACACACACACATACATATATATATATATGTACATATATATATATAAATATATATATATATATATATATATATATATATATATATATATATATAGATATATATATGTTTATATGTATATATGTGTGTGTATGTATATATATATATATATATATATATATATATATATATATATATATATATATGTATGTATATATATGTATATATACATACACACATATATA